CTGTTGCTTCTTGGCCCGCATACAGATTTCTCAGGAGACAGTGGTACCCCCATCTCTTTAACACATGGTAGTGCCTGTTAACTACCATGCCTATCCAAATTCTCACAAACATGCTGCTTGAAGACCTGGCTTGGTACACATATTCAGTTGGCAAATCTACAGTTTCTTGGGTTTTCCTCTTTTTGAAGTTGGATATGACGTTTGCTGTTCTCCAGTGTTCTGGGACTTTGCCAGTCCCCCAGGAGTTCTCAAAGACTATCAAGAGTGGTTCTCTGATCATTTCCACTAGTTCCTTTAGCAATGTTGGATGTAATCCATCTGGCCTTGGAGACTTGAATTTGTTTAAATTAACTTAGTTCTCTCTCACTCTGTCCTTGTCTATCCTAAGCTGCTGCTCCTTCCCCCAGTGGCAGAACAATGACCAGCTAGGGCTCCATTTCCCTTCTGAGAGATGAGAAACACAAAACAGGAGTTTTGACTTCTCACCATTAACCATGATCAGTTCACCACTTTCTCCTTGCAATGGATCTGCATTTTCTTCCTTTTTTTTTTTTTGTTTCTAATGTACCTAAAGAACCCTTTCTTGTTTTTGGTATCACAAGTTTCTGCTTATTCTGAGCTTTAGTCTTTCTGACATAGTTTTTGCAATCCATAGTTCCAGAGGTTTCTGGAACCACCTTGTATTCTTCTTTGATTATGTGTTCCTCCTTCCATTTCCTGTACATGTCCCTTTTTCTCTTCAATATTTTAGAGAGTTCTGCATAAATCCATGCTGGCCTCTTTAGATTTCTCCCAATTTTCTTTCTTATAGAAATTATTTACAACTGTTTCTTCAGTATCCTGTTTCACAGGATTTCCCATCCTTCCTGGATACTTTTCTCTTTCAGGATTTCAAGCCAATGAAACTAATCTCTCCTCCCTCAGAGCTCATCAAAGTCTGCTATTCATCAGTATGCAGGTCTGACTCAGTACTTTTTCTTCTGGATATCACAATTCAAAGATAACATGATCATTTCCCCCAGGGCATCTGTCACCTTCGTTTCTTCAACCAATTCCTCCTTCTTGGTGAGGGTTAGGTCCAGGATAGCAGATCCTCTTGTGCTTTTTATCACCTTCTGACAAATGAAGTAGTCAACAGTAAAAAACAGGATTTTGTTTTACTTCTGACTATCAGCACAGTTAGATTCCCAGCAGAAGTCAAGATAATTGAAATTCCTTGTTCTCTGACACAGAAAGGCCTTATCCATATATCCTGCTTGCCCACGCAGTGTGTAATAAACTCCCATGTACACTCTCAGCAAATGTGTGCCTGATTGAAGGGAAGAACTGTGATATTTGGGTAAGAGGCCACATTTGTGTTAGAGTTTGGATGTGACATGAACCTCAAAGGAATTTCTTGTTGAGAAGTGTCCTGGCTCACAAATGAGAGAACTGACTGCAACAAACCAGTTTAATAAATGCCTGCCTATGCTTTGTGACCTTTCATCAAAAAAAAAAAAAAAAAAAAGCCATTTATAC